TGAACATACAAAGTTTAGGTAACCATGTCCAATAAAAGAATAGATAAAATAGATATTCAGATCGATATCTTTTTTCTTTCCTTTTATTATCATCATAAATAGAAAAAAGACTTATGACTAGAATATAAATAACAATAAAATATGTATTTACTGAGTATTGTATATCATCTATCAGACAGAGTTGTACAGTAGTACTGCTCTCCTCCTCCTCCTCTGCTGCCCTGGCAGACCGGCCTGTCAGCTGTACCGTCTGTACTCATCTGTTTTCTGTCTCTCTCAATCATCTTCAGGTTTTTTTGACCTCATTCTACTCTCCTCTATTTCCTGTCCTCTGTATTTCTCCCTAACTCTGTCTCCCACTCTCCCTGCTTTCCAATTTGCAGTCATCATCTCACCTTCCACTCTATTTGTTTCCAGTCCCAGTAAGTGTTGTTTTCGTTGTTTGTTTTATCACCTCGCTCTGCCTCTCCTCAGAGGATAAGACGTTTGTTTCATCTGCCTCTCATACGGGTTAGGGAGGACAGTTGGTTTCTGTGTTGTTTAAGGCTGAGTGTCTTGGTGGATTGTCTTTGTACCAGGTTTTATCCTTTGTGCAGAAATAGTTGTTGAAGTGCTCCCCAGATTCTGAAATATATTAGTCAAGCTCAATTATACATAGTATGAGAGCTGGCATCTTCTGGTAGTGAAAAAAACTGTGTCAGAAAAAAGTATATTACTGTAGCACTAACAGATTATAAAATGCATGCTAGTTTGTTGTATAACGGAAGTGTTACGTTGTCGTTGTCATAGAAACAATTAAAGAGCACAGTTCCATGCCTTTCTGCCCGAAAAAGGCGCTATGTGTACACGGGCCCTAAATTGCTGGGGAGACAGTTAATTTGAATGGTCTGTGCCCTACAAAGGGTACAGCTATCACAATATCAGGTATAGATCACATGACCCCTTTTAACATTGCAATAAATCTCATTTAAACTTAGTTACATCCACACTCTCAAACATACCACAAAACAATCTCTTTAAATGCAGCAAAAACAATACAGTATATTGAATGATCTATTTATCAGTAAGTCCATCGTGTGTGAATGCATTTAACAGTTCCAGCCAGAAAAATAGTCCAAAATATATAATCCACATGGTCACTGTTCCAGGTTTTCTCAATAGCCACTGGAATGGGTCCCACTATAGTCATGTCCATATCCTGTTCTTTCCGTGTTAGATCAGTTCAACGAAAGACATCTTCATGCAAACAAATAAATCAAATCTATCTACTCAATATAAAGGCTAAACTGGCCCAAATATAATATTTAAACAAATGTAAGAGATGACACTGCATGTTTTGGCTGTTTCGAATGAGGGTTGAAATATGTTCAAAATCATATTTTTTCAGTCAAAGCCAGTTGTCATTAATCATACTTTTTAGTCATAGATTATTGGTTGTGGCAGATTTGTTGCAAATGTTTTGTTCTATTTACACTGTAGCTTGTCTCAAACTTGATATTTTACACTGTGGCACTCACGCATATCTTGTTAGCTTGCAATGAATCTGCAAGATCCCTGCAGTGATGTTGTTGCCTAGTACCCGTCATTCTCAACAACATGTGGCCTTGTTTATCTTTTTACAGAAATGTTGTTCTCATTTAAGCTTGTTCATTAGTGACCTTGGCATGATGCATGTTGTTATCTGGAAGACATATCATGTGAAATGTCTGTGCAGGAATGGCATTTAAATGTAGAGTAAAAACACTGGATTTATAAAGTGATTTTGTACTTTATCAGGCAAGTGTTCACTTTTTGCACATAATTCCCCCATTCATCCATGTGTTTCACATTAAAAGCCTAACAGCATCTTAAACGACAAAATGTCCCCTTTTTTGCAGGCTTTTATGTGGAACACTGAGAGAAAGTCTTTAGTTTAATTTGCATTAGTTTTAGTTTAAGATAATGATATTAGAATTACCACCTAATGGTTGTAAGCCTCTGAAGACTGGACAAGTTGCATTGTTACTGTATATCCATGTCTGTCCAAAATGACTTCACCTAATCATTACATCCAATTACATATTTGTGTGAAATTGTCCTGATTGGAATATGATTTTTTGAGTTATGGCCAAAAAACGCTCAGAATGAAAAGGGTTGAGTAGAGTAGGGTTTGTACTCAATTAGCCGTAAATGGAATTGATCATTGATCACTTTGTTGCTAATTAACTGCTGTGGACTTTGTATGGTAAAAGAAGATAAAAAGAGACAACCATTTTGTCTTGGCTTCAGTAGTCCAATGTGACAGCTGTTGGCTGATAGCTTTGTCTCGTGTGTGTTTGACTCAATCTAGAGTGACAGCGGACATCGACAGGTTTGTTTTCTTTGTGACTTTTATTCAAACTGGCATCACCTTCATTGCCAAAGACTCTATTCACCTCTTGGTTGGTGTGGTGGGGGGTTGTGGTTATCGATTGTTGGCCTCCATTCCAATTCCACTTCCTCTCCTTTTCAAACACAACTGAGCCTGACACCCAATCACAGTCTGCCGCAAGCCGCCTGTCAGCCGCATCACTTGATGTCATCCCAGATAACTAATGGAAAACCCAACACGTCTCCAAGCGTCTCAAGAATAATATTGGCAGCATGTCTGTCCAAATCTTTCTTAACATACAGTGGGGAATTTAAGCTTGTTACGCTGAGTGACATTTGGGATTTTTAAAATTGTTTCTTCTCTGTATGAAAGCAGCTGTGTGGGTTGTAGTATTGCAAGATCTCAATTGTGTTACACTGTGCATGGTCTAAAAGGTTTGTAATCAAAGGACTGGCATACCAAGGAATGTATTTTGGGCCGCTCTCTCTCAGCACAACATTTAACAGAAGTGTGAGCTTTTCTGAGGAGAATTGCTTATTGTGGTTGGACCAATATGAGTTTGGTTGATAATGACACATATATGTTTTTGTTTGAGAATTGGTCATTAAAGGAGCACTATTATGCGCATTTTCAAGTACATAATTGTATTTTGTGGCTTACACTGACATGTTTCTATGCTTTAATGTTCAAAAAGTTCTTTATTTGTCTCATACTGCCTGTGCTGCAGCACCTCTTTTCACCCTCTGTCTGAAACCAGAGCCCAGTCTGCTCTGATTGGTTAGCTGACCCGCTCTGTTGTGATTAGTCAAACGCTTAAAGATGTACCGCCCCTTAGCCAGTCATGTACAATGTGTTACTGTGATATGGAAGTAAACAAAGGAGTGCAAAGGAGGCGTTTCAGTCAGGAGGGGAGTGTGTGGGAGAGAAACGTTAGTCTTTGCAGGCCATTTACATGCACTAAAACATATACAACACACTACAGGAAAGGGAAAACCCCCCAAAAGCATTAAAGAGCTCTTCAATATTTAATGCTGCAGGTTTTCTATGGATACACGCATTTTTTATTTGATGATGGTTTCACTTTGAATCTTATAAGAAGCGTAAGGTTTAAGGTTAAGGATGAATATATATGCATAGAAAATCTCTATAAATATGAAAGATGTAGCTTGGTCAGAAAACGTCCTTTTTGTAGTTGGTTGGTTTTAATAAACACAATATCTCATAAAATCTGTTATTTAATGCAAAGCCCTAACCAAGTGTTTGCTGCTGTACATAAACGACCTTCCTGCTGCGACTCGTGCTGCAGTCCCAACACATCAATAGGCAACCAATGCATTCTTGATTAGGCGTGGACACGGTAATTGTTTTCATTGCCTTGGATTGGAACGACATTGAATTTAATGTGGTCCATCGATCTTTTGTTTCGGGGAAATTGGGTTTGTTACCAGCGTTGTACATCTCTCACGGCCCACGTATTAACCTTTTGTACCCTCGCTTCTCTCACCACATTTTTCTCTCCAGACTTGTCTCTCTTTATCTTGCCCCATCCTCTCTTCATTCTCCTGTCTCATTCTCCCACTCTTTGACTTCTTCATTTATATATCTTCCCTTCTGTTTTTCACTCTCTCCTTTTTCTTCCATTTTTGTTCCCTTCATTTTCTCCAATCATTTTCTTTCAATTGAATAACTCCTATTGCTCATTAAATCCATACTTGCCCAGGCGGTATATTACTAACAAATAACTGATAGTTGTAATCACCAAACACTTTTTATTTTTGTAGCTTTGAAGAAGGGAATTAATCAATATTGTTGTTGTTCTGATTTTGTTGTCTGTCAGCTAATTGATTTACTTAAAGAAAGCATTTAAAATGGTCAATCTTTCTGACTACTTACTAATACTCTTTCTAGTCTCTTTCATCGCCAAAAGCTCCATGTTCTTTGTACAGGGACATTTCTGTCAAGTTTTTAAATGAGCATATGACAAGAATAGATGTTTGAATTTCATACGAAAATTTGAAGTTTCGAGCCACTGTCATTGTGATAACACAAATTACACTATGGCGCCACCACATCTAAGTCATAATTGGTAACACTGCTTGATACTACCCTGAGGAGGTAGAGACCAAAACACAGCCTAAAGGGTTAGGTTGTAAAGAGTGTCAATAGTGGACTTACATTTATACTGTAGGTCGGACAGGAGTATTACTCCAAAATAATACCTCGTGGGGAGACTTTTTGATGACTTGTTCACCATATCAATATACCGCGTTATAGACTGTTCAAACAAGGTCCCTTTAAAAAATTAAAATAAACTGTCGAATTAAAGTATCATTGTTCAGATTATGATGGTTTCAAAAGAAAGAACCAGTGATGAAGGCGCAGACTCAAGTGTGACTTTTTGGTTTGCTTGGTTTTTTTACGTTTCTCTTCTTGTGCACTGATTTTCTTAAGCTGAACAGCCGAGAGTGATTTCTCACACTGACGGGCTCCTCAGCTGCTCAACATATCAGTCGGTGGGGGTACTGGACACCCTTAAACTAAAGCGACATTGACCGGGATCCTACTGTTAGATTTGTGTGTCAGGTTCTTGAGACATATGACCATTTATTTGTAACTTTGTCTTTCTCTTTCTCTTTGTCTTTCCCTGCAGTCAGAGAACCGAGCCAGTCCAAAGGAGAGCGCAGAGCCAGCTGTGGACCTGCTGGGCCTGGGTAAGACATTACCAACCTTCTACCAATGCAAAATATACAGAAACACCCTCGGACAATATAATAACTTGTAAAACTGTATTCACACAACTGCCTCACATGCCAGTTTCTTTTTATAAAACGATATGTGCTGGATGATGTAATAACATTTGTAGTTTGATATTGCAACAATTGACATTAAAAGGGAAAGGATCAATGTTGTCAGACTTTATTTTAGTCATGTACAGAGATCTTTTGATGCACTTCAGTTACTTATTATACCATCTGGCAGTTAATACATCAATGGTGGCTTCAGGCCAACATGTCTGACACAACTGTGAGCAGAATACTGTTGGATCCACAAAATAGTCTATTAATGTAGTTCACTATTTAATTAGAATTTATGAGAATTCCAAATAAGAAAAGAAAACTAAAATTCTCCTTTTATATCTGAAACACACATGATGGTGTTTCACAACCCGTCATACTCACTTGAGGATAAAATGTTGCCTTTTTGAAAAACCAATGCAATGATCCATTTCTGAATTTGGGAACATTTCAATAAGTTTAAAGATAAAAAGTAACATTTTAGAGGATCATTGTAGAAAATATGTTGTCAGCTTGGCTTAATTGGAATGGCTTGATAAGACATGTCTGTCAGCAATTGCCATCTCAAAAGCGTACTGAGTAAAACCAAGCTATAGCACTAGCAAGGTGGTTCGAAGGAGGGAAGAAATTATGCTCAATCGCTTTGTGTGGCGTTAGATCTTAAATCTACAGAAAATAAGGAAAAATAAGTAAGTATTTGTATTTGTTTTCTGGTGTCTAGACTAAACTTTTAAAGTAGAGAAGACCATGGTTTGTTTTAAGCATACTCCATAAAAACTATGCCTTTTAAAATATACACCATCTGGCTAATGTTAATTTGTAATGACATTTATCATTGGCATCATATTCTTGTAGCTCTCCAATTCTTACACTGCATGTTTCTACTGAACTCGACTCGCCATTTTTGGTCTTCTATTAGCAAAAGTTGTGGCCTGTAACTAGAATTATTTTGTTACCACCTCAGTCTCTAGAGTCAAATCCAGATGATACTTAAAGGTGAAGTTATTCTACTGCAGACCACTGACTGGTCAAAAAGAATTGCCACCAGTGTGATACGAATAGCCTTCAAAAATCAGCCATTTCTTCTGGCACACCATGGTGATCAGTTGAGAATCCCGCCTACTCTAAAGGAGAACGATCTACAGTGGTTAGTTTAGTCGAGTTGAGCCAAACCCAGCAGTGGAAATTAGGCATTACTTCAAGTTTGGTGATATTGAACAATCATGCTATTACTAAAAACACCCTAAACTGAAAAGGACATTGCGTGCTGGTGTTGGTTAACCTTAGTGGATTAGGGTTAGGGTTACAGAGAAAACACAGCAAGTCATGGTTGGCTCAGGGTTGTAACCATCAATGTGTAGTTGCACCTTATCTCCCAATACAGGTCTATACTTTATCTATTGTTTTATTTAGACTATGCTGAGTTTAAGCTGCACTGACAGTAGAAAAAGAGCCATTGGATGCAACATTGATAAAACATTCCCGAGTGTGAAAGCCCTGCTATAAATAACTAATGCTACACACCTTCCAGCCACGTCGAGTGGATGAGATTTCACACATAATCAATAAGTCAAACACGTGGCAGTACGCCTTCAGCACTCACACTTCCCCCCCGTCTCTCCATCCATCTCTTCTCCGGTTACATTACTCCCGCTGCGATCAAAGATCTGCTTTAGTTTCTGTATCAACAATTTTTCTTCATTTAAATTCAATTTAGCAGGCTCTGCTCAAACGAAAGTGGAAAGAATATTGCGAGACCAATTATCTTTCCATCCATGCTCTGTCTGCTTCGTATGCCAAACAATATTAGCTTTTTTCAAATATTATTAGTAATGCTTTTTTTTTTTATACATAAGAAAAACACTTCACACTTGTTTTTTTTTTCAGGTGTTGTTGGATAGCTTTGGAGTCCCGCTATGATAAATGCTTTCTCAAAATAGCTCTCTTCAGGAGCCACTGAATCAATTTCAGAAACGTTTGTAGATGGAGCTGGCTGTTCTTCCTGTCTTCACCTTTACCGTGGTCTTTCCCTGCAGTAATGGTCCTGATGAGCTGAATTAACACTTGTGTTCAGACAGAATAATCAGGATTCTTCCTCAATGTTGTCTAATCTAATTAACTGTCCTTGTGTTGTACCTGTCTTAACCTCTAGTCAAATGTGTCTCTCAGTATTGTTAATTGGGAGAAGGGCTACTTATATTAAAGGGACCCGGGATGAGGCATTTTTTTTTCCTGCTTGTTTCCATTCAATAAATGTTTTGTCCGAACCTTTAAAATATGCATGATCAGACATATCGATTTTTTGCCAAAGGCCTCTGGCTTCTGTACTCCAGACAGAGATAAATATGGCGGAAGAAAAAGTTAGCTGCATCATTAGCAAATCTGGTTATCTAAAATAAAGAATTAGCATTTCAGCCTCAAGTCAACGTTTTTTCAACATGTTTTGGTTAAATGCCTGAAATAAGATCTGTGGTTCACACTAACAACTCTTTGGAGTCAGGCTCACCTGAGCTCTCTGGACATGTAATGATTTCCCTTCACTGCGTTGTCCCAGAGAAGCAATATTCTGCAGGTTCTGAAAGTTCCCCGTGTTCATAGAACCAAACTTGGTGACTTCATCACCCACTCTCGGCCAAGCTTTATTTCAATTTTTGTTCTACAACATAAAATATGTTAGTAACCCCACTCGTAAATGTCCGAAGCTTCTACAGTATGTGTCTTAAAAACAATGGTTGCTTACAAGGGGCAAAATGAGACTACTTAATGTCATCATGCAGAACACGAGTCCCCCTTTAGCTTAGCGGTGGTGACAAGAAGTCAGGTGACTGTGATGTTTATGGCCTGACATCAGCTTTTTACTTCTGCCGATTCCATTTACGCTTCAACAAACCTTAAACAAACATGAAGTGTGCAATATTATGTCATCTTATGTAATGAGAGCCTGGGCTTTTTGGGCCACTGGTGGTCTCCATGGCAGTTCCTCCTGTCTCTGTTACCAAACGTGTTGTTACCAAAGCAAATGTTGAATATTTGTGTCTGTTGTTTTGTATTTGTTGTGCATTTTGATTAAATCATTCTTCAACTCTGAGAAGTATGGCAGCAGCAACATCACTATAGAAACTATTAAAACATGTTCTACCATTTCAATGATTGGGAGATCATTCTCACATTTATTAAAAACATATATTCACATGCAGTTAATCAGGTCAAGATGTACCCCTTGTGCCTTAATGTGACAGCCTCCCACTGCTAAATGGTTGTGTGTGTAGGCAAAAGGGGGTGGGGGTGATTATAAAGGCCCCTACACACCAGGCAGTCACCCACTATCCTGGACTGTAAGGGTTTCCATGGTGAAGTTGAGAGTGCTCTAAGGAAACAGCTATATCCCCGTAATAAAGGACGGTGGGCTCATTGCCCGAAATGGCAGTGATGATAATGATGGGCTCTTTTCTCCCTGTGGCTCATTTCCATGGCAATGGGTGAATGAGTTTTTGTTGAAGAGGGGGGCGTTGAGAATAGAAGGGTATTCAATGTATATGGAACCCTTTTTTTCTCCTTCTCTTTGAATATGTGACTTACACCTGTCATTCTTGTTAGCCTCTAATATGCATGATCATACCAGGCTCTGATCTTCAAGCAGCAATTTACAAATGCATTTTCAAAGTAAAAGCCAAGGTCATAAAGGACATTAAGGTCAAGTTAACTCATTTATTCAAACTGGCCAATTTCAGAAATGTGCCTCAGGATTTGATGGCTAGAGAGCGGGATGAAGAAGATCCTTTCCAAGTAATTCTTTGAAAACTGGTTCTAATAAGTAAGATGAAAATGTAATGGTTTTAAAAGGATGTCGAATTATCTTCCCAGCCTTCTAGCAGTAAATGCCTTTCCTTTTACTCTGCTGTCCCACTCATGGTGCTCAGTCTTGTTCACACTTTAAAAGGGCTAAATTATGGATGTTTCATCGCTGTGGTTATATAAATGACCTCTGCTGCTCGCTGGCTCTTAGCCACACACACAATTCACTCTTTCTTCCCTTTCACACACTCTCTCTCCTCCCCCCTTCTGCCTCTCCGTCACACTCCTTTTCTCTCTCTGTGTGGTGACTGTACATGATGTACTGGGGGTGTCCTCTCATGCACCATGGTGAGGGGTCTCTCTCTGGCACTCCCAACCTCCATCCATACAGGGAGGCATTGTCAGGAAATATTGGCTTCTCTCGTGTCAATTGTTTTATGTGCAGGGTAGTATGATAAACTTCCACACGTTGTTAGCAATGAGACAAAACTATACGGTTATTTTTAGGAATATGTTAAGTTTAAAATAAGTATGTTGGTATCATAATGAACAAATTCCTGTTTCCTGGTAGTGTTTGTTTGACCCACCCATCCACTGTGACATCCTCTTACAGAAGTGCAGAAATGAGTCCTTAACCCGGAAATGAGTTAGCATTTTAGCTCTCCCTGGTTTCACTGTCTCAAAGTCATGTGGAATGAGTATTTGGTTAGATTCCCAAAAAAAGGTCTGTAGTTTATACTAGCTCATGAGATTTTCCCGTTTGTTCTACGACATAGAATACCTCAGTAAATAACCCCAACTCCTGAAGCTGAAATGTCTGTGAGAGAAATGATTGTACGAAATGTCGCCACACTGGACAAGAGTCTGCCTTTAGCTCAGCTGTGTTGACGTGAAGTCATACAATTATCAATTTGCCGTTTATAGCACGTTAGCTTTTTACTTCTGGCGATTGCATTTATGCTTCAACTAAAATAAAGGTAGTGTTAATATGTGGAGATTATCCTGCTGGACAAAAAGTGTATGACTCATTAATGTGTGTTTGCCACACACTTGTTTTCTGAAATATTCTGAAATCCCGCTGGCTTTTAGACTTCAGGGTTGGCCTACAGAAAGACATCATCACTGCACCACTCTATAACTACTGCCACCAGGGGCAGCACTGCAAATACATAACTGATGCTACAGGGGCAGGTGGAGGGTCATAGTTTGATACATAGGGCCACTGACCATGCTGCCGCATTTAACAAGGTAACAGGATTTAACCAGTGGCGAACCGTGTCTATCACAACTGGACCTTCTGTAGACACCCCCCCGGCATTATAATGTCCGTCTTTTCACTGAATTGTCGTCTTGAAAAGGGTACTCACAACAATTCGGCAACATCTTCATCTTCACCTGTTGCACTTGCCATTTCAACGTTAAAAACAATAAAACGGCATGAATTGCTTCGTCGCATTCATCTAGATCCTCTGTCTCGAGCCAGTGAACTAGCGGGCCTTCTAGAGTACCCTGGAACCGAGGGGAACTCTGAAAGAATACGCCCTTTGGCTACAAATCAATATATGATTGGTTGATCAAACTGTCAGTCCAAATGTACGCTCTCATTCAGTGCAACGGCCAGGGCATTCTATCAAGGATATAGAATACCTTGGTTGAAGGATATTCTACCCAGAGACCCAGGACAAGATCTGATTGGTTGCTTTCTTTTCTAACACAAAACCACTGAAATGCGTAGTGCATGGGCCGAGAAGGACAAACAAATCAACGTAACACTGTAATATTACAGATCAACAACACAGATACGATTCACATTTATTCATTTTATATACATTTTATTTACATAATTAAATCGATTTTTTGTTTGTTTTATCTGAGTGTTACAGGGTATTCTCTGAATACCTTGAAGGCCCTGACGGTTCGCCACTGGATTTAACAAGATTCTGTACTAAATGATGCTATAGTTTAAACTGCATACTAAGATCAGCTCTACCTTTATTTAACCTATGTGTTTGAAAAAAGACAACACACCAGTAAGGACACTAGTCTTTGTCTTCTGGAAGGTAACAATAAGGCTCTTACATTGCTGATAAGTAGCTGACTGCAGATAGCTTTGTCTCTCTTCTTCCAGTCGTCACTCTAAGCTAGGTTTTCAGAGGGATTTTGATTGGTCTTCTCATCTTTGAAAAGGAAAATAAAAGCTACAAACTTTGTATTGACTTTTAAAAGTGATGTATATTCAGGTATTCTAATACAAAAGATAGTTAATATGGCAATCAGTTAAATCAACAAATTCCTATAATATAATATTTAATTGTAAAATGACTGTATGGTATCAGAACTTCAGGTACATTTGACATGTATTATATCACTGGTCATATATTCTATGGTCCATGGTCACTTGAGACATTTAACACAATTGCTTTCTCTAGCAGGAATTTTGGCATGTAAAAATGGCAAAATGGAAAGTTGTTAATAATGATATTAATCATACCTTTATTACATTTGTTTTGTTTGAGTAAACAATGGAAGTGAGCCAGCAGAGACAATAGACCTACAAAAAAAATAAAAATATGGAACAGATACAAATAATGGTGGTAGCTGCATTACATTTTATGCACCAGGAATCCATGTCAGTGGGTCACCATGCGCAGCAGGGCCCTGGAACTGGCACACCTACATGGAAAGTAGACATTAATCATTCAGTCAGACAACTCACGTGTTTCTTAATATGTTTATTAGAAGCAGCATATAGTTTGAGTTTGGCGTCTAGGCTCGGGCCTCATCACTCCACAGATTTACAAAGAACATTGAGTGATGATTAGATAACTATCCCCCGAGCCTACAGGTGGAAGCTGGGGTGGTGGTGGGGCAGGCAAGCAGCCGCAACATGAAACACAGCAGCAGCAACATGAACGTAGCAATAGCAAGTGAACACAGCAGTGGCAGCAGCAGCATTAAGGAGGCAGAGGCAGGAAGACCTGGCAGCTTAAATAGAGCAGCATGTTTAGGAGAATGTGTTGGTTGATTGTAAGAGGGACGAGGTGCGTCACGTGTTAATGTATGATTGGTGCTCGAGTTGAGTTGCTCGCAGGCTTCGCCCCATTTATTATTAATTACACCTGGGCTCTGTGCTACAACTTTAATCTCAAAATGCCTGTTGTTTCACCTAATTGTGTCTTTTTAGAGTTGTAGAATATCAGACTCCCCAACCTTACATTTAATGAAAGCACCCAAAAATAAACCAGCTCTGTGACACAGTATCAAATATATTTGTAATTAAACACCATTTCTTTTCAAGGGCAAATGAAAAGCTGAAATGAATTAATTTCCCGGGTAAAGCTCGGTAGTGAAGGAGTTCAATAGTCATAATTTTCTTGAGGATACTCCAATTAACAAGCATAGTAATTGAAAATTAAGAAATGCTTAATTCCATAGGCATGTAGAGGTCAGATTGTCAGTGACGTCACTTTTACTGGGTTTCTGTCTTTATTTATGTCCCATTAATATATCTAATGGTTCAGTACAAGTCATATTGTTTTGATTAAAACAAAGTCTGTTAATGTTGGATTAATGTTCTAAATGTGGTTGAATATACTGTATAGTACCTCATCACCAGTTCTATTTTGTAGCTCTTCATAGGCTTTCAATAATATTGCATGATTCCTAAAAAGCCAGGTTTACAGTATATGGTGAGCTTCTTGGGAACAGATTATTAATCTGTTTCTATCTCTGTCAGATCCTCCAGAGGGTGGTGGGAATGGCTCGGGTGGTGCTTCACCAATCAACAAGGACCTGGACATCTTTGGACCAATGGTGTCCAACCCTCTCCCCTCCAACAACACGCAGCAGGTAACAAACACCCACACACACAAAAACACACACACACAGAGTGGCAGGCTCTTTCATCGTCTGCTTATCACCACAGGCAGACCACAGCACAGGGAGTCTGACTCCCCTGATGCAAACACACACACACACACACACACACACACACACACACACACACACACACACGCACACGCACACGCACACACACGCACACGCACACACACAAACAAACAAAGGCATATCCTTTCTACGTGGATACACACACTCTCTGGGGTTCAGATCACTTTCATAGACCCTCATTTATAGAAATAATTTCACCAATGTCCCTCAAGACAGAAAGAGAGACAAAAAAATGAATAATGGTCAACAATGAGTGGTGGAAATGAACTGTTATAGTAATCATTTTAGTTTAAAAATATATCAAGAATAATGTATTTAACTAAATGTGTCTGATACTTCTTTAACGTAACCATTCCAATAAATATAACCCAAATGAATAAACTGGTTTGGGAAATGTTAGTATTTAGTGCCTCTACTGCAAGCGGGAAACTCTGGGGCAGAGCCGGGAGGCCAATAAGGAAGTGCCTCAAACTGCAGTTCATCTAGTGGCCAGTAGGAGCAGTCTGCAAAAGGGAGCAATTTCCATAGACCCCCATGTTAAAATGCCCAACTTTACAGCAGAAATAAACATGTTTACATCGTGGTTCAAAAAACCATATTCTCTGTATAGTTAGATTCACCCTTCATGACTATGGATTGGGGGGTGAATCTTTTCTCAACTAATTTGTTTAATTAATATTCAGTCTTAAAGTTATGCATAAATTAGGGCGTGGTCACATTGAGTGACAGCTCTGTCCAGTGACTGCTGCTGTAAGCTTCTTGTCTCTCTGCTAGCAGCTCCGTGATGCTACAGGGACTCTGCTCAGCTCATCGGCGGAACTTAACTTGAACTCGGCCGTGTTTGTTTGTTCTTCATGCTTATATCGGACTATTGTGACTCGCTCTGCGGTTAAAACAAACGGTGCATGAATGCGGTTTTGCGGTAAGTGAAATTCGAGTACTTTATTTATGTGTTTATGATTTTAATCAGCTACGTAATAAATGTTAAGGCTTGGGTTTGCGCACCATGTTTCCCGGGTCCCTAAGGAGCATGGGAAAACATAAGTGCATTATGTCCAGTGGGGGGTCAGATACAGCCTACTGACCCACAGCCCCCCCCCTCACCAGTCCTGTGTTGCTCCTTGTCCCCAGTATGGGGTGGAAGACTAAAGCCGTCTAACTGTATAGCCCTCGACCTGAACTAACTCCTTAGGTTCTTGGGAACAAAGGAGGGGTTCGGTCTGAGTGTCGCCCCCGCATCTGCCCATTCTCTGGACCGCTGAAGCGCTGTGGCCACACATTTGCTGAACGTGCGTGGGGACAGGGAGTAGCCGAACGATAGTCTGTTGTACTCGTAGGCTATCCCCTGGAAGGCAAAACGCAAATACTTCCTGTGTTTTGGCTTTCTACCAATTTCGACATGAAAGTAAGCGTCCCTCAGGTCGATGGTTTGTGAACCAATCACCCGGCTGTACCAGTTCCAGTGACTGTAGGAATCCCAACCACTTCGTCTTGTAACAGGCTGTGGTGGATCCCGCCCTTGCTGCCTGGATAGTCTGTATAACTTTGTCAGACAGTCCACCCCTTCTCAGCCAGTCCCTCTCAGGAGCCAAGCCTGGAGAGGTTGGCCCAGAGTGGGTAACACCCCTAATGCACCCGCTTCCTGAGACAGCGCCCCCGGAACTGTCCAGGGCTGGCCCACCATCATCTGTGTCATTTCTGTGTACCACGGTGCCGAGCGGCGACCTGGGGCTACCAGAATGACCGACAACTGTTCTCGTCTCACCCCCTCCAGGAGTGGGGCATGAGACGCAGCGGTGGAAAGGCGTAGAGCATGCAAATAGGATAGCCAGAATGTGGGGGGCCTTTAGAGAAAAAAACATTCTCTGAGGCCCACAACCACAGGTTTTCCGCTGCGCTCAACAAGACGGCGGAGCGGACTCCGCCCTGCCTGTTGATGTAAGCCTCTGTGGTGTGGTTGTCGCCAGCACATGTTTGCCCTGTAGTAAGGGTTTGCAGTGCTGTAGGAGCAGTACTACTGCCCGTAGCTCTAGAAGGTTGATGTGCCGAGTTTCTGTCAGAGGCCAGCCACCACCTATAGCTCTCTCTAGGCAGGTCCCCCCCCCCCATCCTGTCACGGATGCATCTGTGAACACCATGACGTAAGAGGTCACCCGCCCCAATGGAGTTCCCCTCCGCAGATGTTTTGGGGACCCCCAGTATCGGAGGTTGCCCTCCACTGAGGGGGGGGGGATGGTCACCAGACGTCGTTTGTGCCTCTTGGGATCTAAACGAAGGCCGGAAAACCACCTCTGCAGGCGACGCATATCTGACAACAACACGCCGGCCTTAATGTCCCTGCACCCGCATAGCGCTTTGACAGCACTTCCTGCGGTTTATCACACTTGCACGCCCACTGGCTGCCTCCTTTACTGGAGTTTACAACTGGGGCGGCGAGTGAGGAATCGTGTCTCATAATGGGTGCCCAGTTAACATCGTATGAAACGGATCTTGCCGATTTCAACTAGACATTATGGGGAATTGTGGAGAGAGATGACTCTTACTCTGGGATAAATGCAATCGTTTTTATTGAATGCATTTTTCACACACACATCACTCTAGAACTAGGGTTACAATACGTAACCCACCGTTCTTGCAACAGGGCCTGAATTTCTGTTGAAAGGAAACCTATCTCCTCCTGGGATGATAGATTTGCCTCTCTTACATCCCTGAATGGAGGAGGGATGCTGCAGAACTGGAGTGAGTAACCCAGTCGTAGTAACGTGTCCACCCATTCTGTCAGTACACAGCTGAGCTTCCATTCCCCATAAAACTGTGTTTTAGGGGACATGCAAGGAGCTGTGGAGCCGCAGCTAAGAAGCTACTCTCTGGTGGCCCTCTCCTCCGCCAAACCTTCCATGAAAGGAAGATTGGCTTATGGGGAACCGACATTAAAAGGGCTGATTTTCTGCGGAGGTCCTTGAACGCACCGCCTTCGTATTAACGCTGTATTTCACATTAACGGTGAAATGCATTAATCGGAGCTATTATACTTCTCCTCATCCACGTGACCAAGGAAATCGATCCAAAGAGCCCTTCCGTAGACACGGGGGCTCCCAGGAGATCATCACGGTCTTTTTTTTTAATGTGCCACGCGGCGTGATCCCACTGTGGCCAGGGACATCACACGGCAAGCAGCGGCGGCCACACCGTGGACCAGGATATTAATTTGGCCGATGCTGCGGCCAAATAATCGCTCGGATCCGGTGAGGTGGGGGCATCTTGCAGAAGAGCAATCGACGAGACGCCCAACGCACCCGTGTCCGGCTTCGTTTATACAACTTCAGTGTGTGAACGCTTGCGTATCATTGAGGAGAGTAGTACCCATAGAGTCCAGTAGAGGGCGGAGCATGTGTGAGATAGAACTGTCCCTGAGTCTGGTGGTTTTACTCCTGATGCTACCGCAAATGACAGTTTTTGACTTGTGAATAATTTTTATGTCAACATCCAAGTTGTAATTACCACATCAGATTTCTTGTGCCAGTATATCTGACTTAATATTGGGGCATTGCCTGAAAAAGCGAACAAATATGAATGCCTTACAATAATAGCCCAATTGTATACATATAGTGCTATATTGTGGATTCACATTACTGTTAACCCTTATGCTGCAAACAAATCTTGAGTTGGGCTGTGAAAAAAACAACAACATAGCAATATATAGGTTTCTGCACTATATATTGTAATATGAAAACATCAGGGTTGGGCAGCTTCAAGGTTCAAGGTTCAAGGTTCTTTATTGTCAATCTGACATAGCTACAGAGTAATTATGCAGTTGAAAATCTTATGTCACAGGCTTCTCCAACAATGCAACATAATAACATAACATAATACTTACTTAAAAAATGTATTCTGTTACAATTGTTAGTTACATGTAAAAAATGTGATCAGTAACATATCAAAATATATAAAAGTAAGGTAACCTGATTACTTCTGTTACATTTGGATTACCTCAATATCAAATGCAATGCCAATACATAAAAGAAAGAAAAAAATAACAATAAGATGTTTTTTACTTAAGTGTATTACGTAAGACGACAGAAAAATGTAACCTCTGATCCTTTTACAACAAACACTATATCCTCTTTTTAGGTTTTTAGTAACATTTTATTCCTGCTAGTAATCCCCCAGTTTTCAACAAATGCAACAGGAAGCATCTTCTTTCTTTTTTTAACCTATTATTTTTGTATCCTGATTACATGTAATCCTTTACTCGCCAAACCTGGACACATCTAGTGTTTTATACCAAATAACTTCAATAACTCTATTTGGAAGTATTCATTTTAATTATTGGAGTGAGTTTTTAAGAGCGTGCAGCAGCATTACAAAGTGAAAATAATAATAATTTTTAAAAATAACAAAGTGTTACATTGTTCTTGTCATTTGATGTTTGAGATGTATCATTCCTAAAAGCTTTGTACGTAACATATCTAATTGTTGTTATTCTGTTATATTTCTACACCATAGATTTTCTATCCTTCAAGTAATGCTTTTTCTCTTCCTTCACCTCAGAACATGTATTTGTCTGCGCTCTATAATTCCCTCTACTCTACTTTGTCCTTCAATTTTTTTCCCATCTTTACTGTCACTCACCATTTTCTCCCTCAAGTATATATTTTCCTTGAATCTGCACAGTGTCCTGTTCTCCTCCTCTTCACCCTTCATATGTCCTCCTCCTCCTCCTCCTCCTCCTCCTCCTCCTCCTCCTCCTCCTCCTCCTCCTCCTCCTCCTCCTCCTCCTCATAAACTTCTTCCCACCAATGTCCTTTACACTCCCTCTCACCTTGAGCCTCATTAATCAAAGTTAGTTGTGTACAGATATGTGGCTCAATAAATACTGTATAAGCATTTCTAAGAGACAT